AGAAAAGTGTGTGAGTTATCAGCTATTATGTGGATGTGTGTCCGGTGCATGCTGCAGATGAAAAGAGATCCGCCATACCGTGGAAACCTCATCGCCCTGTCTAAGCAGCAAGGACGACTTAATCTTGGTACTGGCGGGAATGGCCCCGTAGACGTCGCCCTTTTCACTGAGCATCTTTCCGCGATTAAGCACCACCGGCGGGTCGACGATATTCTGTATGCGGTAGTTCTCCTCGTAGTTGCGCAGCTCCTGCGTCAGCGTTTGCTTGCGCTTCATCAACTCGCGAATAGAGTCCTGGTGAGAAGTAAACGTGGTGATACAAAAATAAAGCAAATGAAGATAGAAATAAATTGCCAATTAATTAAACGATCTGCTTACCTGTTCAAAGTTAGAGCTGAGCACCTGCTGGCGTTCTTCGTGTGACTCCAGCCGAAAGCCGACCACCTCGCCGGCGACGGTGCACACAATCAGCTCCTTCTTGCCGTCCATGTTGTAGTCGGCGATCATGATGCCGGCTATGGAGCACTTGAAGTTCTCCCGGTACATCACCTCGCCGGTGTGCGCCACGCGAATGTCCAGCTTCCCATTTGACCAACCGGTCAGCAGCTCCAGCTGACCGTCATTGTTCACATCGGCGCCGAGCAGCGTCACCGGATTGTTCTTCGACTTGATGCGCCATAGCCGCTCGCCGTTTGTCTGGTACACGCCAACGGTGCCATTGGCCAGGGCGTAGGCGAACAGCTGCGGTCCCAGCGAGCAAAGGCAGGTGATCTTGTCCGTCTCGGACATCTCGAAGATGATGGCGTCCTTTTTGAACACCTGAATTTCGCAGTCTTCCGAGCCGACGACCAGCTGACAAGAGAAAGAGAGAGAGAGAGAGGTTAATGAAAATGAGCATCGACTACAGAACTTCAGATGTCGCCACGAGCTTTATTTTTTGGATGCTTTTGTTTGGGGTAACCAAACTTCAACACTCTTCAACTGCCAAACACACACCTCATTCTGGCCGTCATTATCGATGTCCACCAGTGCCATGGCGCTGATGTTGTCGCCCGTCACAGTCCAGAAGGCGTCATTGCCATCCCGGTCAAAGCCGTGAATTGCACAGTTGCCGCCAATCATCGCTAAGTTGCCGTCGGAAACCTTTCCAAACTGACCAATCGCCACGGCGTTTGCTCCATCGGGAATCTAAAAAAGATAACTGTAAGTATTCTTAAAAGCACCAAGTCCTTCTAAGTAATCCTCTCACCTCTTTGTAGTACAGGTCGCTGTTGTGGAGGATGTCGTACACGTGAATGGAGGTCTTCGTGCCCACCACCAGGACATCATTGTTCAGCTGGTTCTTCTGCCGCAGTGTCGACTTTCGACGGACCACTCCACCTGACTGTTTGCCGGCGCCCACTACTGATGATGAGGAAGAAGAGTTGTTCTTCGTTTCAGCGTTGTTCATTGCATGTGAGCTCGAGGAGATCGGACCCGCAGCAAGGCAAGTAATTGTTTGATTAATATTAAGAAAGTCAAGATCATTACCGCTGCTGGCAGTAGTGAACTGACCCATTGCAGCTCCATTCTCTGCGGTAGTGTTGTTGCTGCTGCTGGAAACACTGCTGTCCGGGTCGTACACTGAACGATTGTGTGGATTGTGCACAAAGATCTGATGATGATAATGTGAATAATAATCAGGTGAGTATTTGGATGCTAATTATCTTCTAACGATGCTCACCTTATCAGAGCGTGTCACGGCGACGATGCTCGGATGGACGCCGTCAAAGTAGCCGATGGTAACCTTGCCCGCTCTGATCGGTTCAGTCAGGTTGAACGTGAACTCGGTGCTGAGCATTGGAAGCGACTGAAGTGGTGGAGCTGACAATTCAGCGAAAACGAAACAAAAAATGCATAAAAGCAGCCCACCAGCCACTTGATTGCTTTCGACTGAGGGGGAAAGAACAAAGATAAAGAAGCAGCAAAATGTGCCCAAGAAGAGGTCGGAAACAAATTGAGTCCTGTTGACAATGACTTGTTCAATGTGCTTTTTGGTCTTGTTTGTCTTTTTGCATTTACTCCACTCAGTACACAGACCGCAGCAAAAACTGTGGTGTCAGACCAAAACATTGTCCGTTTCCATTGACAACGACCACCACCACCACCACCACCGTTTGCGGTGTTGTGTAGTGGCTTTATTACCAATCGATCTCGCCAGGCCAGTTGGCCGGGCATGATTAACTGCAGCAGTTTTTGCTGCTGCTTTATTAGTTTTTGAAAGTTATTGAAAGCAGCCAAATTAATGTAGAAGGTGGTGGAAAATGAGTTTTTCATGTAACTATTGATTGCTGTGTGTTTCTACTACTGTAGTCTCACTTGTTATGTTGTTGTTGAAAGTTGAAGAAGCTAGATGTGTGTGATTTAGAAATCGATCCACCAGGAAAAACGTTTCGATTTTCTTTGTACTTGAAACTCTTCTTTTTGTTTGCAAAACATGTAAAGATTGTTTACAAAAGGGACGATGACAACTGTTGTCCACTGTCAATTAAATACGGTTTTGTGCCAAGTGAAGAAAAGGAGGAAAGGGCAGCTGTCGTTTTAGAAACATGAAAGCCCAGTTGAAAGAAAACTGGCACTGTCCATTGAGTGAGCTGCTTTGACAGAGTGACAGTGTGGACATCATCTCCAGCCCGATGAAAGGACGCATCTTCCTCCATCACTTGCATCAGTTTGCCTCCTGTTCACTGTTTGCCGGTGAATGACAACAATATGGGCGATTTTAATTTGTGGTTGCTGCTGCCCACCACACAATGATTACCTCTTGGGGCTGTCATTAGCTGTGTGAGGGCTCAAATTGAATTCAATTGTCAGGTTTCTGTTGTGGCCTCTGTGCAGCATTTGTCCTCTGCCCGTCACACACACCGCAGCAGCTTCGGTTTGGGCAGCATCATCGGCGGCGGCCTTGGACGGTCCGTTCCCGAACACAACACAGCACAAACACGACCGCATACTCATTGAGCTGTCTGTCTTCTCGGTGGCCATTGTCATCGCTGGCTCATGTCAGCTCCTGCTCCTCAATTCAATTGACCTGTGTGGAACGGAGCACTATAGGACACCGTTTAGCACCACAGTAGCTCAATGGCTGCCTTTTTGGCACTTCAATACTGTGACGACTCGGTGCGATCACTAGCATCGGAGCATTTTGCATAAACTCTCCACCAGAAGTATTATTGCGACGACATTAGAGCAGCAGCCGCAGCAGTTAGCGCTCTTGTTGTATTGAACAGCGCGGCACACATTGTGAATGGAAAGAGTCTTGTCTTGTGCGGAGACTGTCTTCTTTCTCGATTGTTGTGTCGGTGAACACTTGGACAAACGAGTGAGTGAGTCTCGCACGCTTCTCAAATCTTTCACTCACTCGCTTTCGATTACAATTTAATTAAAGTACCAAACAATGGAAAGAAAGAGAAGAAAGAAAGAAAGTAAGATTAAGCAATGATAGTTGGATGTCGATTTGCTGGAGTGCAAATTACACGTGCCGGTACTAGTGAGACAGTATTCACCCACTCTCTTTCTACCCATCAGTGCTCTTCAGTCCACTGGCACGTGCCAGTTCCAGTTCCAGCAGTCAGATCTGCTCTGATCTGATCCGAGCCCTCTTTGATGGAACACAGGAGGAGGAAGAGGACACCGTGTCTCAGAGAGGTCAACGCGTGTCCTTCGACCAGCTCATTGGACGGCAATTGAGTCGTATTACACTGATTGGGCATTAGGCATTCATTGACGCACACTAATTGCCCCCGCGCCAACACCAATGCGGACGGACCACCACTGCTTCTTCAGGCAGATAAATACTCACAGCCGCTGAGCCGATTGCTTCTCACCAATTTTTTCTCTAAAGGCTGACAAGTGCTCCTTCTCTCACCACAGGGAACCACTTCTGCTGCTTCTGCCGCTGCTGCTGCACTTATTGAAAATTAATTTTCTCAGAGATGCTGCCGTGTAATTGCATTTCATCACTGCTTTGATTGAAGTAATTTTGTTGCACTCCTGCCGATATCTTTTTTCTGTTTTGCGGCACAACTCTTTTCACTCGCTCAGTAGCAGTCGAGTGTCCATTTTCATTTGCTCATAATTAATGTAGATGGACAGATGTCCTGTCAGCATTTGTTGTATGTGCCTTTTCTCTCTCTCTCTCTTGCTAATCAATTGAAATTGATAGGGTTATGCTGCCCTTTCAGTACACTTTCAGTTGTGCATTGGTCACTGGCCAGTGCTGTTCATTCTTTACATTTAGGAGGCAAGAATGCAAATGGAGAAAGAGGAGAACAGAGACCTGAAAGTACAGTCTGGTCATTGCACAAACTAACAACTGCAAATTGAACAAATTCTTTCAATCTCATTTTGGTTTCTATGCAAATGCACATTTATATTAATCCTTTCACCGACTGACGACAGCAGCAGTAGCAACATCAGCAATGCAGCTTCTTTTATTGCCATTCACTCTGACATTTTGTTCAGAAAGAGTCTCTCCATTTTTGTTAGGCAGTGTACTATTTGAAATAGTAGTACTAGCGCTTTTGTAAAGTCTGGCAAAATCGAAAATGACCCTGCTGTAGTGATGGAAGAGAAAGAGAAAGAAAGAAACAGCACTATCCATAAATTGCGATTAGGCAGAGTGACATTCACAATAAGTGCTGCTGCCGCTGCTGCTGATGGTGACTTTTTAATTGAAAACAATTTCAATAAAGGCAGCAATTTGATTTAATTTAGCCCGCTCTGATTTGCTGTATTGCCTTCTACCTCACTCTACTACAGTTGCAGTTGCAGTTGCACGATCTGACAATTGTCAATTGTGTGTCGACAGAGACACTGAACGCGCAAAGGGGAGACGGCGATGCAAATGTCAATCGTCACTCTTCAGTGAAGTGCCCACTTGGTCAGCACTGCAGTAGTAGTGCTCTGCTGGAAGACACACACACACACTAGGGCCCTGTGACTCTGGTTGGAACAGTAGAATGGAGAAATGATTGAGGCGGCACAGCAGCAGCAGCAGTGCACCTCCGTTCCGCTCGTATATAGCCCACTTGCCTCACTCCCATTGGCTGGCCGGAATGCAGTCACCAGACGCTCATTGGCTCCTGGACTGGAACTTGGTGGTGCCCTGTGTGCCCTCTGTCTCGGTGGCGGGTATCACTTCCACACATTGTCTATGCAAATTGTCTGTCTTCACTTGATGGGAATGTCAACTGATGAAGATGTCCTGGCTGGTGCCACGCACACAGTCGCACACTTGCCATTTGCCAGGCATGCTTTGAGGAATGGACAACTACAAGGACTATTCGGGGCTGAAAAGCGGTAAGTTTTGTTGCTACATTTTTCAACTNGCCAGGCATGCTTTGAGGAATGGACAACTACAAGGACTATTCGGGGCTGAAAAGCGGTAAGTTTTGTTGCTACATTTTTCAACTTTTGATATTAATTTTGTGATATTCCCATTTAGCAAACAGCTCTAACTGGGGAGTTTACGGAACGGAACAGGAGTGCCCGACAGCAAGTGGCAAGTGGCACTCCTGTTCATCAATGGACCAATCTTCCAACTACCAGACAACACCATCATCGTGTTACTATGCCGTTCAGAGTGGCGCCATCAAGACCGAGTATGAACCACTGTACGAGCCTTCAAATGGAGATGGCTTTTCTCAGAACTTCAAGTACTCATACCTTTCAGATCAAGGTGATGCTCGAGCTCTCATTTCTCCTCCTTCTTCGTTGCCCTGTCATTCGTCCAGCTCAATCGGAATTACCAGCAGCAGCCTGTCACAACCTTCGCAGCAGTCACACAGCAGTCAGCAGATCGCCTGTCCACCACCCGACTCTACCTTCAACTCTTCTGATTCAGGCTCTAGTGACATTGCTTCAAAAACTGCTCGATCAAGCACTCACATCAGCCGTCTAGGCAAAGGCAAAGCTGAAAAGCACCACAAGTTGTCGTCGCACTGCAACGTCTCGGGTGGAGGTAACAGTTTTGGAGATGGCCAAGAAGATGGAAACCTCTCTCGGAAGGTCATCCTCCGGCCGCACTCCACGCCGGCCACGCTGATGTGGCTGGAGAACAACTACGAACTGGCGGAGGGCGTGTGCATTCCCCGGTCGGTGCTGTACCTGCACTACGTCGACTTCTGCAGCATCAACCGCGTGCAGCCGGTGAATGCGGCCAGTTTCGGGAAGATCATTCGCCAGCAGTTTCCCCACCTGACCACCCGTCGACTGGGCACCCGTGGTCAGTCTCGCTACCACTACTACGGCATCGGCATCAAGGAGAGCTCTGCCTACTACCAGCTGTCCTACTCCAAGAAGTCCGTTCAGATGCACAGGTACTGTGTGATGTGTGCTGTTGCACAAGCAGCTTGCCCGAGGTGTTTATTACAATAACTTTATCATATTTGATTTATTACCACCGTAGTGAGTGGTACTGATGCATAGTTTAGTTTACTTGCGACACATTTAACGAGCAGGCGAAAGTGAGAGCAGGCTAGCGAGACTAATTAACGGCCCGATGACTTATGTCACCGCTCTAATCGTCGTAAATTGAGTCAATCTGGGTGACATTAATAGTAGTAGCAGTAGCAGTGGTAAATATAGCGGATTGCTTTTAATCGGATGATGTTTTGTAAGGCTTTGTTGGTCCACTTTGTGTATTGTGGATGCATTTGCAAGCCGATTAGCTGACAAAAGAGGGAAAGAGAGAGAGATTGAGGAGAATAAAAGGTGCACGTGCACTCGGTGTGGTCGCATGACTCAAATGAGGAGAGAGGAAGACAATCACTTGGGTCCCCTCTCTGTTGGGTTCATTTA